CCTATCTTTAATCAATCTCTTATCACAATTTCCTTGACACCTGATGTTCCTGCTATCCAGTATTCACTCTATATTACGGCCTGCCCCCAGAAAAAGCCTCCAACTTTAAACGATATCAACTGATGTTTGTCTTGCAACACTGTGACATTGGTGAATGGTTAGTGTGTGAGGGAGAGAGGATATGAAATTCACTGTTTTATTATTAAATCAATTGCAGGGGATCTTGGATTTAAAAGATTCTACTTTTTTGGTGCATATAATGTGAAAGAAACAACAGACCAAGGCAGGCTCTAACTAGTAATAAACCTACTTGAACAAAACATTCTTGATTCTTTAGATATATAGAGTTGCATCGTAGTTTTGTGAGTGTGGGTGGGAACATCCCTGGGACCCTATTTTGGGCACATTTTTTTATCCTGAAGGACGTGTTCGATGATATTCAGAGTTGTATAGTACTGCGTGGGACAAGGGACATGATTTTAGACGTTTTTCTTCCTTAATACTCCTTTGTATCCCGTCCAAACATGCAAGAAATGATCTCCACTTATCAGATTCAAGGAAAAAGTAAATAATATCTTTCATAATCTCCCTGCCCTTTTGTCTGCTGCAAAGATTCTTGACTGGATAGCTTTGAGAGGAAAGGGTAAAGTTCCTAGCATAGCATCCATGATGCTTGGGTCTTGGGTATGTTAACTGTTGCCATATGCATAGATAATTGACATGTGGGTGATTTTCTACTTTGCAGGATGATGATCAAGAGTCTGTGGTTATGTCCAATAAAAAACGAGAAAAGTTTCTCTGTGTTTTGCCTAAAGTGGAGAAATCCAAGAACAGAATGTTTGTTGCTGAACAAAATATTAGCTGTATTATTGTCTACTTGAAGTTCTTAAAGGTCGCTGCTTTATAAGGGTAATGATTTTCAACCACCAAAACAAAGAAATAAGAAAATGGATGCTGGATTGAAAATTTCATTATTTTTTGGGAACTGCTGATATATAAATTGTTTCGTTTATATCCTCGAGGATTTTTGTTACTCCTTATTTGTAACTTTATCTTGGTTCTTTCTTTTTTGTATCGGTATATGTTAATTATATTGATAAAAAATCATATACAAGTACACCAAACATTTCCGAGCGAAACATCAATCAAATGACCGTACAAATATTTCGGACATACCCGAGCAAACAAAAGAAAGAAAAAGATGTACAAACGATATGGACTAGTAACTCATAGCTAATGACTCCCAAAGAATCAAAACATTCGGATACAAAGAAAATATGACTTTGTATACGTGTGTTTTGATTTGTCGAATAACACTATCCACATGTGGTGTAAAGTCTTCAAAAATCTTCCTATTTCTTGCCATCCAAATGTCGCGTAGCCGTGTAAACATGCTTACCTCACCAAAAAAATCTAAAGCAGCAAGAAGGATGGTGATCATATGAATTTTGTTATCCGAATAAGGTGCGACAACTTCATTTCGAGGAGGAAAGGGTAGGTTTTCTTAGGACTTGAAAAGAGCATAGGTTGCTCTTCGGGACATGCTATAAATATTGGGTTTTAATCTAGCTGATAAATTTTTTCTTCGTCTGTCACCAATATGAAAATCCTCATTAATATTATCTACAGTATCCAGTAAATGCGATCCGAGAGAACATTTAACTTCCCTAATGCCTTTGAGAGTTATTCCCCAAGTACACGGAATAATTCACAGAATTTGTATAGGCATCTCTGTGTGTTTCCCATCTTTGAATCTGTATTGTCCATTCACCGATTCTATACCAATTTCCTATACTTGTCGACTGATTCTTTGAAATCTTGTGATATTTTTTTTTTTTTTGTATTGGTATATGTTAATTATATTGATAAAAAATCATATACAAGTACATCGAACATTTCCGAGCGAAACATCAATCAAATGACCGTACAAATATTTCGGACATACTCGAGCAAACAAAAGAAAGAAAAAGATGTATAAACGATGGACTAGTAACTCATAGCTAATGACTCCCAAAGAATCAAAACATTCGGATACAAAGAAAATATGACTTTGTATACGTGTGTTTTGATTTGTTGAATGACACTATCCACATGTGGTGTAAAGTCTTCAAAAATCTTCCTATTTCTTGCCGTCCAAATGTCGCGTAGCCATGTAAACATGCTTACCTCACCAAAAAAAATCTAAAGCAGCAAGAAGGATGGTGATCATATGAATTTTGTTATCCGAATAAGGTGCGGCAACTTCATTTTGAGGAGGAAAGGGTAGGTTTTCTTAGGACTTGAAAAGAGCATAGGTTGCTCTTCGGGACATGCTATAAATATTGGGTTTTAATCTAGCTGATAAAATTTTTCTTCGTGTGTCACCAATATGAAAATCCTCATTAATATTATCTACAGTATCCAGTAAATGCGATCCGAGAGAACATTTAACTTCCCTCATGCCTTTGAGAGTTATTCCCCAAGTACACGGAATAACTCACAGAATTTGTACAGGCATCTCTGTGTGTGTTTCCCATCTTTGAATCTGTATTGTCCATTCCAAATTTTTGTACCGATTCTATACCAATTTCCTATACTTGTAGACTGATTCTTTGAAATCTTGTGATCTGAAGTGAACCATGGCAGGTAATTTATTCTGCTTATTTTAATTATTACATGAAAATTGGGAACTGCAATATCGGGCGGTTCAAGAATTTATCTTGGCTTCTAAAGTTGGCCAACCACTAAACTGAGAAGACAATTAGTCGTATTTCCAAAGCAGAAGTTTAACAAAAGTTGATAAATATGCATTTACATTGTCTTCGACTTCTCATCCAGTAAGTTTAGCCAAATACTCGTTTATAGCTTCACCTTCTAGTGTAACATCAATGTCATAATCTGAATAGGCGTCTCCTTTTAGCAACTCTCCCGTCAGTTCATCTTCCATTTCTGCATCTCGATCCTCGACTTCCTGCCTAGTCGATGGACCTTCACCGTTTTCTTCCAAACTTGTACCTAAGCCTTGCCCAGGATCCAAGCCGGAAGTGCTTAGTGATGGATCCAAAGGATTTTCACTGGCCACTACTGCATTTGCATCGGGTTGTCCAAGTAAATGATTTAGTGCTTGTTCTTGGGTACCGAACCTGCGAAGAGCTGCGTCCACTACAAGACCAAAAACAGCAAAAAATTTGAATACCAAGAAGAATATCTTAGCGGTACCTAATACTTTTGAACAACTACTTGTAATCGGAAGTATGCCTTTTTCCGATTATTGTTGTAGAATGTTTTGCGCATATAGCATGTGGCTCTCATGTGTACGCATTTTTTATTGCATGGTAGCAAAAGATAAATGATATAGAAATGAAATGATAAAAAGCTCAACTTGGACGTCTAACATAATGAATGCAAAGGTTCATCTCGACTCAAGGAGTAAATGCCATTCGATCTAGCTCTATTAGTCAAGTCAAAGGCCTGGTGCAGAAAAGTGTACTTCCCATGTTTAAAGCCCCCCACACCCAACATAGACAGTCCAAAATTTCAAGCTTGTAAATTTTAAGAAAAAATGTGCAGGATTTGGAATAAACTTATCAGTTGTTGAGATATAATAGGCAAATCAGTAAAAAAGCAGCAGCATCAATCACATATTAAGTACCTATTGCTCTTGGGAAACCCATGGCTACAAGTTCTTCACTTGCAGAGGATGCTGCTTGACGAAACCTTTTCTTTTTCCTTGATTCGATATCAATCTCCAATGAACAGAAGAATGGTTGGATTTTACGAATAAACAAAAAAAAAAAAATGCTTTCATGCACATTTACCTGCATCACCGAATTTGTTTCAGGGTTTGTTAAATCATCTAGAGCCTTCTGAGTATCATTTTCATTTCTTCGAAGGGCTTCAGCAGCAAGCTCTTTCTCAAACCTACAATTTTTTAATAACTATCAGCATATTTTAGACTCTAGATCCATGTAAAGTGGAAGCAGAAAAGTGTTGTATAAAAAGTCGACATATGCCAATTGGTCCAATGCCACATCACTGTAGAAACTATTTCCCTTACAAACATTCTGCTAGTGTAAATTCTTGTTCATATTACTATCTGGTACTCTCCTGTACTAGTTACCAAACATGCTGCTAGTGTAGAGAGACGGAGCCATGGACAGTAGATATAGATTATAGACAGATGATGAAAGTTATTTACCCAATAGAGACTAATTCATTTAGTCTTTGTAGATCCACAGGTTTCCGAAGAGGTGTAATTCCATATTTTTTCTGCTCCCTGTAGTTGCATGTTTGTCAAAGGTCTTGCTGTTATAAATATGGACAAATAAAAAATGACTTCAGTGCCAAAATAAAACACACACAAGATCTCTTCTTGTCGTCGGCGATCCTCCTCACGTTTCAGTTCCTTCTTTGCTTTCTCCTCAACAAGAAAATCAACAGCACTACCAACATCCTGATTGCTCATGCGGAGGGCCCTCTTTGCATCACGTGCTTTATAGCCCATGCTCATTAGCAAGGACAATGTTTCATCTGGAACTTGAAGCTGTTGGAGGAACAGGAATATTTTTTTATTGATGGAAGTAAACATTGGGAGGGAAATGAAACAATGACACGAGGATTATGAAGATGACAAAAATATATTTTGATTACTCATATATACAGAAAAATTCTGCAAACCAGAAACTATGCCCTTTGACAGGAAGGGGAAACAATATCAGAGTAAAACATAATTTCTTATAATTCCACAAAATGAATTCTTATAGTTGCTATTGCACAACAGCATACGCAAGGTATCACTTGCATGAAGTTTATCCCAATCTACCTGAATGTATTTAGCTTGTGCTTCAGTCAGGGCTTCCTTAGACTTCTGCAACTGACCGTTGTGATATGCAACTACTCCTTCCAAGAGTTGCAGCCTCAAGTATCTAAAAACCAGTGATGATTTTTTTTAACTTAATACACTACTACACCAGGACGATTTCAACAGGAAAGAAGTAACAGAAGTAATTAATGCCTCAAAGAAGAATACTCACAGGGCAAGCTCCGGATAGCGACCCCCTTGGAGAACCCTCATGCGACTAGATTCTTTCCCATGAGCTCGCTCAATCCCTTCTCTAGCTTTTGCAAGGCGAATACCAGCTACTGAAAGCCAACTGATATCATGGAGCATAAAATAGCACCAAACCATGTCTATTTGTAGAATTGAAACGTTGTCAACCATCTGGAATGCCAAGCACAAAATTATAGAAAGCATAAGACGATTGCATAGGATACATTAGTGGCTGAGTATAAATCAGTGTAGAATCCTAAACGAGATGAAGCCATTAACAATGTGCTTAAAGCATCCCAAGAGACTATCTAAATACAAGATACTTCTATTTTAGAGAGCCAATGCATAAAAATAAGCTCCAAGAGATTCTATTTTAACTTTTAAAAATAAGAGAGTTTGGCTCTCCAATCTTACTTTATAATTATTGCATTTAATATGTTATAGATTTGAATAATCTACTCCTCAAATTATTCAATGCATATTTTAATTGATTGGCCATAGACATATTAAAAAGATATTTAAATAAAAAATGAGGAGAAACCAATAAATGTTATTGAAAAAACTAAAATTGAATAGCCAAAATAGAGAGCAATGTTGAAGTGCATAACATTTTTATTCTCTAAATTTAAAGATGCTCTTATGAATAAAGAGTCGGTTGGAAATGCTCTTAGTAGGCGTCACTGCTCTTCTATATGATGAAGCAAAATGATTCCTCATCTATTCCCAGCCATTCGTAAAACAAGGTAATTTATTCATCGCCGAGGATTAACTTTAAGAGCTGCTTCTAGCCTTGTACCTTCAATTGATGCTTTCTGCAGCACTAACTTGGTAATGTTGAAAAGACCAACAACAACAAAGTGATGTTTACAGTATCTGGTTTAGCAATTCTATTATATAGCTGAGATAAGTTTATGACTTGGAATTTCTTGCAGGGTCAACCATTTCCCACAAGCGAAAACAGCTGATAATGGCAAGGTTTGACATCATATATCAACAATGTCTCACCTCAATGACCTTTGGATCGCAGAGAGAGAATGCTTCCTACAGGAAAGAAATGTATCTCACTTCAGGTAACATAAGGTATACAAATTATAAATTCTACATGAAATATCAAATCGCAGGGAAAAAAGAAGAAAGAAAACTGAAAGCATTGTAAGCACAGGGTAAAAGATACATTCACTCAGTCACATTACCAAAAAAGGGACGAAGCCTGAAAAACTTTCGATGGTGAAGAAAACAACATATATCCTTTAATATTTTAGCATAAACAAAAGCATTACAAAGAAGTACACAAATTTTCAATGAAAAGCACAGTCAATCTGCTCTGCCACAGAATGCTCAGGCTAGAAGATCAAATTTTTGGGAATACACATAATAGGACAAATCGAGCTAACCAACACTAAAACCGCTATAAATTGGAATGTATCAAATATTTTTCTTGCATGAAGTATTTTAGACACTAACCTCTCCCATGGTGAGCACTTCCAGTGCGTCTTTGTATTGTTGCCTTTTTATCAGTGATTTTGCATTAGCATGAAGCATGAGTCCCATCATTATCGCCCTGTGAATTGACAATTTAATTCCTTGCATCCAGAAGTATTTGACCATAGAAATATAATGCATTCCACTTAATATATAATATAACACATACCGCTGATCAGTCTCATCTCCTAATTGCACTCTATCTCCACTCTGATTTTCCAGCTCCAGATTGAAGTCTTCAACTGGTAATGAACCATCTGCATGTCTACTGGCCAATGACGTGGCTGCAGATCTGTAATTCCAGTCATGTTACCAAGAGTGCTAGAAAAAGCCATGCAGAGTGAGGTGCATACTCAAGCAAATGAATCACAGAACTCATCATGTTAGATACTTGTATCATCTTCAAGTTGCAATTTACAAATGTTTGCACCCAAATGTTTGCTCAGTAATCTAGTTTCGGTTCTGTGTATAACAAGAAGCAACCTCCATAAGTTAATAATTCAAAGGATGAATTGATGGATTAATCAAGTCTATGGTTGCAGTATACTAAAAATACATCAACTCAACCGTTATTTTCAATTCAAAATAGCTGTTCTTGTCTCGAAGTATCCATATAGACTGCCTGGAAAGAGGGGTGAACAGTCGTGTCAAACAATGCTATTCACCACCACCCCTCTCATCTTCCTCCTCCTCATGTATAAACTTATGATTAGTTCAGATCCAAAATATCTATTATTTACTTGGATCATGCAAATTTTCAGTCTTCAAAAGTGACATGAATTAAAGTTCAATTCAGTTTCAGTAAGCAAGGTTAAATACCAAAAAATCAACACAATACTACAACGCCTAGAATTCACAGAGATTCTACAATTTAACATAAAATCTACAGCAATTAAAACACACACACACACACACTAATTCATCTACAGACCCACTCAGGGAGTCAAAAGAACTATACAGATGAAAAAGACCTAAAACATATAGAGTTGAACCATGCACAACAGATTGACTTAGATCAGCCACCAATAAACCATAACTCCCATCAAATTCTAATCTTCCAAAGCAAATAAAGAAATGAAAATAATCATAAGCTTGACGGAATATGAATTATAGTTGATTTTGATCGTGCAATTAATCACACAATTCATCTAAAACCCAAAATATGAATCACAATCAACCCAAAATGACAGGTTGATCATGTGAAGTAAAAAGATTAAGAGAGAAAAAAAAAAAAAGAAAAGAGGCACGGACTTGAGTCGGGAGAGTCTCTTGGAACGCTCCTCCTCAGCCAAAAACTCCTCCTTGAGAGATTTCCCTTCTTGATCAGTCGAAACTTTCGAAGCCAAAATCTTGGCGTTGTTTCTGACACCCAATTGAGTTAATTTTTCAGTACCATCACCATCTCTCAAAATTCTGCCAGCGCATATCAGGTTTATGCACTGTGGCCCAACACAGCCTGATTTCTTGGCGACTTCTTCTCTCAAAGTGGCCACTGTCCACTCGTCGAGTTCTACTTCCAGTACTCCACTCCATGCCCCACCTATCCTCAATTTCCCCATACCCATTAAAGTTCTCTGTGTGAGTCGTCGTTTAATCGATTTCTAGGAAGAAACGAAGAACAGAATTTTGGCTTTTTCGTCTGTAAATGTAGCTTTTCTCTTGTCCTTCTAGGGACTAAGAGTTGAATATTTATTGGTAATTGGAATAGAATAACAAATTTTCTGTTTGTACAGAAAACCTCGTCAGCTGTCTTTACATGATGACAGATTAAATTGCGACAAAGACAAATATTGGACGATGATATTGATCGTGCGACAAAGACAAATATTGGACGATGATATTGATCGTTTTTTAAACAGACATTTGGTCATTTAAAATATCAAAAAATTCTGACAGCCAAGAATAAGATGATTTTTTTTTTCGTTGGTGTTTCACACCCATTTTGGAAGAAAAATAGATTTTGAAATAGTGATTGATGGAATAATATGTGATTAAAAAGTAAAGAAAATTTTGAATTTATGTGTAATATTATTTTACTGATAGAATGTGCGGTTAAAATGAAAAAAAGTAAAAAAAAAAATAAGAACTAAAATGAATGTCAAACACGTGCAAATGAACAATAAGTAATTCTCTCTCTCTCACTACGTTTTTTGTTTATTACTATAAGTTATAACACCAATCTTTTTGAAGATATTCTTATTTTTAATCATCAATTAAGTTCATGTTTAAGACACGTTAAAATTTTCATTATCATTCTTTTACTAATTTTCAATAACACATTTTTTAATAAAATAATATTTTTCATCATATCAATAATGTTTTATTCTTTTTCAACCACACATTCTCTATTAATCTACTATTCTAAAATAGTATTGTTATTCTTCCCCAATAAAGTTATAAACACAATTTAGGTGGCATCTAGTATGAATGAATAACATTATATATATATATATATACCTTTTAAATAATTTTTTGGACAAAAATCCTCATCAATGAGTGGCTAAAGATATGCCAATTAATGAATTTTGATATAAGAATAAGAAGAAAAGAAGTTAGAGACATGTGCGACAATGAACAAAGGTTAAGGATTGAGTTGAGTTGTCGTTCCGTTATATTGTCGCTAAATAGAGTTTAACTACTAAGTTCAGGAAGAATAGATGCGATTCCTTTATGCGTAGACGTCAAAATATTGAATCATGAATAAAGAAGATGACTAGTGACTATAAGGCCTCAATTAGTGGCTCATTTTTTTTTTGCCTATTCGTGATAGTCCAAGGATAGCTAACCTGATGCAGGAGGATCCAAGTCAGATGATGTCGAATTGTCTGATAGCTCGTTGAAGGTGCTGAGAGTTGGCGGATCAACGCAAAAATGGAAAGTAATCGACAATTTTTCCTAATTGGGGCTCTTTTTGGACACGTTTCGATATTTTGGCCATAACTTTGGCTAGGTTATTAGAATCGAGCTCATGACCCCAATTCGGAAAGCTCTTTTTGGCACGCACGTTGTGGTCAACGAGCTTCGCTCGTTGTGCATCGATTTCGAGGATAAATTCCACTATTTTCCTTTCCGAATCCCCAATTTTAGTTATTTTTTGCTTTTTTTTAGTAATATTTAGTTTGTCTTTTGAACATAAATTATGAACTCGAATTGAGCCAGATTTTTGAGATATTATTTCTCTTGTTACGTATTTTCTTTTGGTATGAATATTAGAATTTTGCTATATTTGATAAAATTCCGATAATACGATTGTTTAGGTATATAATCCGACTTGTGGGTTATTTTTAATTGTTTGATGAATAATAAAGATTTTCCTTTTTTCTTGTGTTCTCCTCTATAAATTATCTGCTGAATTTCAGTTTACGGAATAATCACTACTTTGCCCGATGGTCAAAAGGACGGTAAATTAGTTTTCAAAAGTTTTTTCGAAAAATTAATCCAAACTCAAGAAAGTAAAGACTAAATAGATCAATTCAAATAATAAGCGCAAATATGAAAGCAATAAGTGAAAGGGGGAGATGATGCAAACGATATAATTGTGGAGATTCAATCTAAAACAATTATTTACGTTCTTCGTTACCAAACTCTCTGATACGAGTAAGGCTTTTTCACTATATTGATTGACTTATGGTGTAATCCAACCATTTACAATGTTTTCGGTGACTTACAAAAATTGAGCAACGATTTTTATACAATGTTGAGCTTTATGAGATCTCAACACGACCAACTATTGATATCGAACGGGACCTTAATATGACCTATACAGTGACTTACAACAAGATGCATCAATCATTATACAATGTTGATATTTACGGGATTTTAACACGACCCACACTTTATCAAAGTGATTTTTACAATGGAATTCATTTCTTGATAAATAATACAAACAAGTTAAGTAGTAAAAGATGCTAACACTTTAATGAATAACAATAAATGATAGCTCAAATGTTAAATGAAAAACTTTAATGTATATAATAATTAGAAATTTGGTTCAAGCAATCAAAGTTTTTCAATGAGATTATGAAGAAGAAATAAATGCAATATAAGTTTAAAAATCTTCTCAATATATATATGAACGATTGCAATAAATTAAGTATCAAGAAAGAAATGAAAAACTTTGATGAATATGATAATTTTACAAATTTGATTCAATCATAGTTTTCAATATGAAGTAGTAGAAGAAATATATGCAATGTAGGTTCAATGATCTTCTTCAAAATATGTGTCTTTTTTATAAGTAATAGAAATAAGTTAAGTATAAAAAGAGAGATGAAAACATTTGATGAAGATGATGATTAAAGAGTTTGAATCAATCAAAGTTTTTTATATGAAGAAATAAATGTAATGAACCCGAATGTAAGCTTAAAGAAATCTCTCAAAAAGATATCTCACTTTGATGCACTTGAAGAATGTTGTATTGAATGTCAGAAATAAATATATTTATAGAGTTCAAACGTAAAAAAAATTGAGAGTTTCAATGACTCGTCTAGTCGACCACCTCTTGTCCGTAGGACCAATATAACCGTTTGTACAGTAAAAATCAAATGTAGAACGGTCAAATTTCGGACCGTTGGAAACTTTCAGTCGACCGCCTCTTTTAGCCGGTCGTCCGTTAGTTAGTCAACCCCCCTATAGTTTTGGTCTCTTTACGTTTTGGCCCCATTTGATTTGATTCAAAAGTTTTGAAGGGCATGGACTTTTGGAAAATATTTTTAACTAACTTTTCAAGATAAAAGACATTTTTTAAGTACAAGTCTTTCTATGTATAAAAAGTGCCTATTTAACGGAATTTGTTTGTTTAACGGAAAAACTAACGGAATTTTTTGTTTTAACGGATTATGTAACGGCATTTTTTGTTTTAAACAGGCAGCTGCACCTTCTTTCAATGTTTTTATCATAACTTTGTATTCCGATATTCAATTGAGGCGATTCAAAATGCGTTGGAAAGCTAACCCATCTGGGTACAACTTTTAAACATTGAATTAACATCTATTTTTTTGTAAAAATAAACTTTAAGGGGGTGTTTGTTTTTTATTTGAGAATTGATTCTCAAATCAATTCTCATTTTCAACCACACATTTTTCAATAAAATAATTTTTTTCATCATATCAATAATATTTTCTTCTTTTTCAATCACACATTCTCCATTAATCTACTATTCTAAAATAGTATTGTTATTCTTTCCCATTAGAGTTATAAACACAATTTAGGTGGCGTCTAGTATGAATGAATAACATTATTATTTCAAAATACATTCTTCCAAAATAATGTGGCTCAAACACACCCTAATTAATAACCGTTTGTCCATAGAGTACTTTGAATGCGAGATGGATATTTTTTCGAACTAGAGCATTTGTTTATTTTTCGTTTTCCTTGTTTAAAATATGAGGGGATATATATATATACCTTTTAAATAATTTTTTGGACAAAAATCCTCATCGATGAGTGGCCAAAGATATGCCAATTAATGAATTTTGATATAAGAATAAGAAGAAAAGAAGTCAGAGACATGTGAGACAATGAACAAAGGTTAAGGATTGAGTTGAGTTGTCGTTCCGTTTTATTGTCGCTAAATAGAGTTTAACTACTAAGTTCAGGAAGAATAGATGCGATTCCTTTATGCGTAGACGTCAAAATATTGAATCATGAATAAAGAAAATGACTAGTGACTATAAGGCCTCAATTAGTGGCTCATTTTTTTTTTTTTTTGCCTATTCTTGATAGTCCAAGGATAGCTAACCTGATGCAGGAGAATCCAAGTCAGATGATGTCGAATTGTCTTATAGCTCGTTGAAGGCGCTGAGATACCATGAGTTGGCGGATCAGCGCAAAAATGGAAAGTAATCGACGATTTTTCCTAATTGGGGCTCTTTTTGGACACGTTTCGATATTTTGGCCATAACTTTGGCTAGGTTATTAAAATCGCGCTCATAACCCCAATTCGAAAAGCTCTTTTTGGCACGCATGTTGTGGTCAACGAGCTTCACTCGTTGTGCATCGATTTCGAGGATAAATTCCACTATTTTCCTTTCCGAATCCCCAATTTTAGTTATTTTTTGCTTTTTTTTTTAGTAATATTTAATTTGTCTTTTTAACATAAATTATGAACTCGAATTGAGCCAGATTTTTGGGATATTATTTCTCTTGTTACGTATTTTCTTTTGGTATAAATATTGGAATTTTGCTATATTTGGTAAAATTTCGATAATACGATTGTTTAGGTATATAATCCGACTTGTGGGTTATTTTCAGTTGTTTGATGAATAATAAAGATTTTCCTTTTTTCTTGGCATTTTTTGTTGTGTTCTTCTCTATAAATTATCTGCTGAATTTCAATTTACAAAATAATCACTACTTTGCCCGATGATCAAAAGGACGGTAAATTAGTTTTCAAAAGTTTTTTCGAAAAATTAATCTAAACTCAAGAAAGAAAAGACTAAATAGATCAATTCAAATAATAAGCGCAAATATAAAAGCAATAAGTGAACGGGGGAGATTATGCAAACGATATAATTGTGGAGGTTCAATCTAAAACAATTATTTACGTTCTTCGTTATCAAACTCT